TTGATTTTTATTATATTTTAGAAACATATATATTTTATATGCAATTTAATTTTATTTTAAAATTATTTGTCTTTTTGACACCTTTAATGCAGAGATGTTTCAAAACCTTTATAAGTATTACCTCACTTATGTTAATAACAAATTGTTTCCATTTTATAGATAAGAAAATTGAGCTTTAGTGAGTTTAAATACACTTCTCTTGGTTACACAACTGGTGAACTATAGATCTGGGACTCATTCCTATGCTGTTCTATTTTTATTCTGTCTCTTAACCATTAGCAAAATTTAAAACATTACCTGTCCTACAATCTCATACAATGTATGTTTTAAATGAATAAATGTTTTAAATGAATAAATATATTGATGGTCAGATGTAGAAATAAAGTCTGCTGTAATCATGTGATTTTACGGTAATCAATATTTTTTCTCTCTCAATGCAATTGTTTATAAAATAGGACAATCTTTAAAAATGATGGTTTTATTGGTTATGACATAGTTATGCCATTTATTCATTATGACATTGAGGGTATAGCAATTTCAGAGTTCAGTCCATAGTTGTTGGTCTCCAAGGTGGATCACTGCAGAGGGCTTCATGGAGGAAGCTGCTCAGGCCATGGTGGCAGGAGGAAGCCAATCAGGGGACAGAGCCAGAGAGGGAGGGGCCCGGGACCACGTGTAGTGCCCAAGGTCACACCTCTGTGTGTCAACATAGTTCAGGACTGAAATTTGAGATCTTTTCATTACCATTATTCTTAGCATTTTCATTATGGACTGCCATAATTTCAGAACGCTTACTGTTTTCAGGCTATTGTGTAGGTTAATTGTTCATGTCTGTTTCTTTTTATACCAAATTAGTAAATAAGGCTCATATACAAACTTTTTCTAGATTAATTGGATTATTTGTGTACATGATGATTGATCTCTCCCATTCTCAGTCCAGAGTGGTAACTGAGCATTATAATTGGTCACCTGGCACCAGACTAGCATGCAAAGATCCTCTGTCTTTTAGCAGCACATCCCACAGGGGTGCTAATCCCATAAAATATCCTGGTGTCGTCAGCCCCGGGAAGAGGATTTCTGCGAGCAGAGGCACTTTTACACGAAGGTAATGTGGCAAAACCTGGAAGTCAGTGGAAATCCAGTGGAAGTGACTACTCATGTTCATAAGAATAAGTACTATATTTAATTAACCAAAGCGAGAAAAAGGTCAGTAAATCACAATATAAAAAGTTAAAATGATTATAGATGTAAGCAAACCATAGCACGATTCTACTTCATGAAACAGCAGTTTTTATTTTATGATTATATTTAATGAAGAAAGCTGAAGTGTCCCCAGATATCTCTACTGAGATTTAGTTTTTCTTCCAGTAAACAGGCAGTTAGATGCATGTTTGACAGACGATTTCATTCTTGTAAGCTCTGTAGCTATGGCTCCCTGCTCTCTCTCTTTTTATGCAGCAGAAATCATTTTAATATTTAGAGCATGTCAACATGCATGAAAATTTAAAGGGCAATATTTTCATGGATTTAAAGTGTTTTTTTTTCATATTGGTTAGTGCATGGTAAAGCTTCTTAACAGGAAGTATAACTATATACATCTTTGGTATCATGTTGGATGTTTATAATTAATATCTAACTGAAGAACTATCTAATAAAGCACCATGTTGGATTACCCAGCCACCGGGCGGAGAAAGCCTGAGGGGGACCGAGACCTCACAAGGAGGCTGGCTCCTCTGGTGTGACCAATTCCAGAGATGTCTACTTCTTCAGGAGTCCTCCCGAGGAAAGGAGATGTTTGGTTGCTGGAGACGAGAGATAACCTGTGCAGAGAAATTTTCTGAGCACCTTTAGAATCCAAAATGCATGCAGCTAGCTTTAAGTCTATGATTGAACTGCAGTGAAATGTAGCTTTAGAAAATTCTCTTTCTCTATCCATCTATCCATCTATCTACCTACCTACCTATCTTCTACCTAGCTGTCTATCTCCTGATGCACCTCATATATCTATACCATTCAATCTATTATGCATTATTTCACTCATTCTCTTTACAAGGAACTTTGGGAGATATGATTTCAAAGTTAATGTCAAGGATGGTAGCATGTTCCTTGAATATTTGGTTTGTTTTCTTGTCACTGTACCCTAATATATGTACGTATGGGCAGCTAGAAATTTTCTAGTAATATGTGTAGTCCACACAGAGCAGTGAATAGTACTGGTGGGTGTGTGTAACAGGTTTTAACTCTGTCTCCACTTTATGTTCAGTTTTTTCTCCTTTACCATTCTTCATTTATGTAACTCCCTGTGAAAATCTGGAAGGTGACTTAGTGGGGCTTATTTCTCACACTAAGCCACCTCCAGTTCATCTTCTTTGTAAAATCACTGATGTACATATTTACATGTGTGCATTCTCACTTATGTTTACTTTATGCTTTAGTAGCCATAGAAGGAAACAAGAGAGGTTGGAGAAGAAGTGCTTCCTGCACTTTTCACTCCCACCTGAAGTTTCCTAAATAAGTCTGGCAATTACCTGACTTGTGTTACATCCACATATGAATGAGAGGTGGTTGCTGTGTGAGACTAGTTGGGAATCTGGGCCATCACAGCACAGATGCAAGTGGAAACCCATGGATCTGAGGGGTGGGGGACCCAGATCAGCAGATTATGAAACTTAGACATTGCAACAATGGTTTTAACTGGTGGTTTTCAAACTTCTTTCACACATGTGTGATGTAATGCAGTCCCACTGAACAGATAAGGGGAGGTACAAAAGCAGAGTTCTGGAAGTAATTATGTTATTTAAAATAGGCAGCAGCCTACTAAGCTCAGAACCCAGATTTCCTAATTCATGGTCCTAAGCAGCTTCTAGGAAAATGCTTTGTTAATACATGGCCTGGGCAACTGACAGCCTTGATGCAGAGTCAAGAAAAATGCCACTTATTTCAATCTTTATCATGCAAACACTTAATTTTGTAAAAAATGCTAGCATTAATATTTAAGTAAAAACAAAATCTACCTTTCTCAATTCTGCAATCCCAGTGGAAAGAACCTGTCTCCCTATTAGAGATGCAGTTCCAGGAGAGCTCTTCTTTCTTCCTAGCTCAGTTTTAAGGCTATATTCTAACAGAATCACTAAGGCTAAGTTGGTTTTTTGTTTCTTAGCAGAAAATATTTTTATAATTTATATTCACTACCTCAAATTTACCATCCCTGTCAATCCAGAACTCTGACTATCATAGGCTAAGCCCTTCTTTGATTGAGGTAGGTTGCAATAAAAATCTTCTGAAGGAGGTTGCAGCTCCCCATTGCTGGCCACAGTCCTTTCCTGGTTCTGCCTCCAAGGGAAGCAGGGCTCTGAGGTCGTGGTCCAGAACTTCCTGGTTTATTTTACTACTGATGTTATACCAAAGCACTGCAAAATCAGTAGCTTGAAAATATCCATAATTTTATTCTGGGGAAGTTTGGGGATAAAAAATCTACAGTCAATGTCACTGAACTAAAATCAAGGTGTATGAGAGTATGTTTTTTTCCCATCCTTGCTAGTATTTTAAAATGATTTTTTACAAACTGGGCTGGAATGTAATCAGCCCACCTAAGAGATAAGCATACTCATGTTTACTGTAGCCCTATCCATTACAGCTAAGTTCTTGGATCAACCTAGGTACCATCAATAGATAAATGGATAAAGAAAATATGGTATATATTCACAGAGGAATATTATTCAACCATAAATAATAACAAAATTCTGTCAATTTTCAACAAAATGGATGAAACTGGAGGACACTATGTTAAATTAAATACGCCAGACACAGAAACAAAAATAACTGCAAATTTCCTCTCAGATGTGGAAGTCAAAAAAATTGTTAACCTGAATGTAAAATGGTGACTAGTAGAGGTTGGGAAAGACAGGTTGTATAGAGGGAGGTTGGATTTGAATAGTTCACATTGTATGCAGATGGTGAAATATCACAATAAATTCCCTTAATATGTACATTTAATACATACTCATCAAAACCAGAAGAAATATTAAGAAAAGGAAAAGGCGAAAGATCTCAAGGAGAGTGTAGCCCTGAATGAGTGTGATATAGAGGGAAGGGCTAAACATCTTATAATGTTGCAGAATAAGGATGGCTCTTGCCAATAAATCTCCTTTAATTCAATTAATTTTTAGTAGTTCTCTCAGCATGCCCAGTAGGCTGTGTTCCCAGCCTTCCAGCATTTAGACTTGTTTTTTTTAGGATAACCAAACCTAGTGAATTTGTACCCTTGGTTTGATAATTTCTGGAATGGAATACGAATCATGCAGTTACCATGGTGGTATCTGTCTGTACTTGGGTGGGGCTCTAGTACTGCAGCAAGCCAAGGAAGACAGTCATAGAAGAGAGATGGCTAAGATGGCCCTTGTAAAAGATTCCTTTGTTGCCTTGGAAGAGTAAACAACAACAGCAACAGCAGCAGCAACAGCAACATGCACCTTCTCGTCAGATGTTGCCATCAATTGCTTTAATTTCAGAAGTCATCTGTATTTACAGTATGTTAGACTGAGACATAGTAGTGCTTTGGTGGGTCTTATTTTCAGAGTACTTTTCATTTAGGTCAAGAGATTATTATTCCAAATTAAATAACAGCAAGAGCTAAAACGATCTGTCCCTAGAGCCTGTTTCTGAATTCCATGTATAAGTGTCCTCTAATGTTAAAAATAAAGAATAAAAGCTTAAAAAATATACACAAATCTCCATTTCACAAAAAAGAAGAAAAAATTGGACTAATAGGTGACGTTCACTCTACTCTGCTTAACAGTGAACCTCCGAGGCTAGCACAGAACTGATTTCCCACCTATCAGAAAGGAATGATGCATAACACATCCCATAATAAACAACATATATGGATCATGTGGGTTTTTCGATTATGTAGAGTGACAAACTGTGGGGACAACATAGAGCAATACCATAAGTCAGGCTGTTATGTTCTAATCTCTTCACAGAAAAGAACTTAGAAAATCATGGACAAGGAAAATTCCACCCAGGTGGAGAAGTTCATCCTTTTAGGGTTCACAGCAGATGCGGGGCTCCAGTTGGTGCTCTTCTTCATCTTCCTCGTCATTTATGTCCTCAGCCTCTTGGGAAATCTCACCCTGAGTTCCCTGATCTGTGCTGATTCTCGACTCCACACACCCATGTACTTCTTTATTGGAAACCTGTCCTGCCTGGACCTCTGGTATGCTTCTGTCTATGCCCCTAAAATCCTCATGACCTGCATGTCTGAAGACAAAAGCATCTCCTTTGCTGGCTGCCTCACTCAGTTCTTCTTCTCCGCCGGGCTGGCCTACAGCGAGTGCTACCTGCTGGCCGCCATGGCCTATGACCGCTACGTGGCCATCTCCTCCCCCCTGCTTTACTCCCAGGCCATGTCCCCAAGGCTATGTGCCAGTCTCGTCACCGCTTCCTACCTTGGTGGCTTGGTAAACTCCACCATCATCACCAGTGAGACATTCACCCTGAGCTTCTGTGGCGACAGTGTCATCGATGATTTCTTCTGTGACCTGCCCCCACTGGTCAAGTTGGCCTGTGATGTGGAGGAGGGGTACCAGGCTGTGCTGTTCTTCATCCTGGCCTCCAACGTCATCACACCAGCCATGCTCATCCTGGCCTCCTACCTCTTCATCATCGCCGCTGTCTTCAGGATCCGCTCCACCCAGGGCCGCCTCAAGGCCTTCTCCACGTGTGGCTCCCACCTGACGGCCGTCACCCTGTACTATGGCTCCATCCTCTTTATCTACTCCAGACCCAGCACCAGCTATGCCCTGGAACGTGATAAAGTGGTGTCCGTGTTCTACACTGTGGTGATTCCCATGTTGAACCCTTTGATCTACAGCTTGAGAAATAAAGATGTCAAAGAGGCCCTGAGGAAAATACTAGTTAGAGCTAAGCTTTCTTAAGTGCAAGTACTGGAATTTTAGAAATAAATAAAAAAGGAAAATAAATGTTCCTTGATGTGGAAATAGCGGTCTGCATGGCTTTTTTTAAATTGGTGCTGATACATTAAAATATTTTTAAAAAATAGGTGAAACTGAAGCAAGGAACCAACATGGAGAACAATTGAGGCAATTCACTCATTAGCATTATGAAAAGAAGAGGCACTACTTCCACTAGAGATAGATAGCGCTGATTGATATTCTAAATGGGAAATTCCCTGTATGTGACTTGTCTTCCCATTTAATCCTCACTCAGTCAGTATTACCTGGGTGACTGTACTTGTAATCTTATTAGTTGGTTGTGGTTTTGTCCCACCTCATGGCCACCTTGTAAATTTCCATGGGGTCTTAGAGTTTTGTCCCATTTTGTACCTGCCTCACCACATGGCTTTGCTGTATAAAAAATGTTTGAAATGTGGGGTGGGCAGGCAACCCACTTTCCGGTCCCCCTTCTGTTTCTCTTAGACAGGAGCTTTCTTTCACTCAATAAATTTTCCTACTCTTAAAAAAAAAGGAAAGAAAGAAACTGGAGCTTTGGAAAAAATTTCTAGCATGTTAATTTAGAACAGGGTTGATAAAAATCTGACAAGTTTGAAAAAAGCAGATTTGTTTAATTTTTCCCTTGACATTTCATAAGTTGCATTTATCCCTAGTATTTAAACCTTTAAATGGAAAATTTCTAACTGATTATGGAATCATTGTCAGGGTTACTTCAACTCATGTAGCTCATAGGGGAGAAGACAGGAAGGCAAACCCAGAACTTCCACTTCCATGAGTTTACTTTCACTTATTAAGACAGAGTTAGGGAGTCATATTAAAAACATCATGTTAAAATTCCCCAGAAACAAGATTATTCTTTTCCAGATCTTTTCTAGTGGTTGTTTGAGATACATAATAGTTGCATTTTGGAGAACTGATTTCTTGATCATTTTCAATCACTTTATGTCTTGATTGTCCCTGATTCCTTCCCTTTCTGTGAAAGTTCTGCTTCCCTGTTTCCTACAATCTCTCCTTTATTTTGCTCTTTAATTAATTTATCTTTTGGGTGTCTCATATAAGAGAAATCATATTTTTCTGGTTTCAGCTTCTTGACTTATATAATACAAGATAACAGGTTTCTTCTCCTGTATATAGAACAAAGCTTACTTAGAGTCACTATGAACTTCCAACCAAAGAACATTTTTCTCCCCAATTAAAAGATGGTAGCAACAGTACATCAGTGACATGAGATGGATAGGCAGATGTAAACAGCCAAGAACTCAGAAAAAATACTTACGTACAGGCAGAATGAGTGAGATTTCAAAAACCTTTACATGCAAGGGAAGATTCAGAGTGGAAATCTCTACTTGGTGAAGCAGTTATTGATAACAACTAAGGATCTATAAATTTTATATATTTTTTTCAGTTATATGCATAAATTTAAAATAAGAGAATATTTCGTTGTCATGCATCACATATCTTAAATTTAGTAGTCTTTTTGCAAGTAAAACATGAGGCTGTTGTAACATGAAAAGGCTCCACTGTTGGTAACCAAGTGTGTTGGTTTAGAGGGCTTTCCTAGTGCAATAGTGCACACTGGGTGGCTTAAACAAGAAAAACATGTCTTCCCACAGTTATGGGGGCCAGATGTCCAAGTTCAGAGTGCTTGTGGGGTTGGGTTTTTATGGTCTTTCTCTGTGGCTTGCAGGTGGCTGGCTGGCTGCTGTGTCCCCGCATGCCCTCTCCTCTGTGGCCACATTTCCTTGGCGACACTTTGTACCCTCAAATTGCTCTTGGTAAATGTACTGATTGTATGGGATTAGGCCCACTCCAACTACTGCCTTTTAGCTTGATCAGATCTTCATAGGCCTGATCTCCAAATAGGGCCAGATCACAGACCCAGCTATCAAAGTTTCAGTGTATGGCTTGTGGTAAGACGCGACTCAACCTGTAAGATCAGGGACAGGCAGGAGCTGCCCAGTGTGGGAGATGAAGAAGGGCATTCTGGGGATAGAGAAGAGCACACACCATGGAAAAATTATACAATATCTCTTTCAGAGAACTCTAAATTATGGTTCAGAGAAATTCTGTTATCAGACATATTGAGTGCTTATATTGTGACTTGGAGCCATTAAGAGAGTCAGCTTTTAATAAGATCCTGCTCACTGGATCATATCTCAGTTAATACATTATCTGTCCCCACACTTCAAGCACTCTTAATTGTGTCTTTGGAGACGGAGCACATGTTTTTGGCTGCTGGAAGAGGTCTCAAAGGGCTATTGAGGGAGCACATATATCATGGGCAACAAGGCGTACACCAGATCACCGCAAAAGATGGAGAGCAGCACTTCCAAGAACTAGTCCTACTGACCTCGGGTGAGCATTTGAGACCAAGGGCAGCTGAGCGGTTTGGCTGCCCTGTGACTGCAGCTGTGCTTAGAACGGGAAAGCAGTCTGACCTGGCAGTCAGGGGGTCATTGCCATATTGCCATGCCAGCACACACACACACACACACACACACACACACACACACACACACACCTCGGGTGAGCATTTGAGACCAAGGGCAGCTGAGCGGTTTGGCTGCCCTGTGACTGCAGCTGTGCTTAGAACGGGAAAGCAGTCTGACCTGGC